CCGTTAATAACTAGTTTAAGAAGTAAACTACATAAAAAAAATTTAGACTTAAGCGATGAGACGCAAGAATTACTTTGCTCTTATACGTAAATTAAATGTAAATTGAATTTTTATTTAATTTCAATCAAATGTTCCTATCATTAATTTTTAATAAATATACACTTTTGCAATTTTTGTAAGACAACATTGAAAGGTTCTATGATCATTCATTGCATATTTCACAAGTAACATAATTTTTTCCGCGATTCGCGCAAACGGCTCCACTGTGCGCCGCGGCCGCAGCATATCACCTCTAACTGGCTAGTTCGGACACGAACCATTAGCACGGATGCAAACCATGTGCGGTTACCGAGCGAAACGACGTAGTTGAGTTACACTTTCTCAGGCGGCGCGTCGGAAAATGCGACACACAAAAATTGACGAAAAACGCCGAGATGGCCTCTCTCAGGTTTCTCTCTGCTATAGTATAGAAATATGAATAATCCAACGTCATAATTGCTTCGGGATTTTTGCAAAATAATACTTAAGCTTCTACATAACTATAGCCACCCTAAAAGTTATCATTAAAAAGTTACGATTTGGTTATATGTTTATCTCTGCAAAACTGGCATCTTCTCCAATAATGCCTAGATAAGAGGGGGTAACGACCGGATATACAACGGGCGTTACGAATGAAAGAAGAATATGCCCCTGTTTGCGAGTATAGTATCGAGCGAGATCCTCAGGATGCGGAAAGAACGAGATTTTCACGCTCAATCTTCACCAACATAAATTATATAAGGTAAATGTCCCCATGGCCGATCATGTTCCCTCTACCGACTTTTTTGACGTGAAACGTTGTTTACGAGGCTGCTGATTCAACAACACGTTCATTAGTGCAGTGGAAAAATTCAGGAATTCGTGCAGTACAAAATAATTATAACGTGCAGAGTAAGTACAATAGTTAAATATATTTTTTTTCGCATTTCTTGCCGCACGTCACCATCCACGCGTATTCTTAAGAGTGAGGTTAGGAATTGTCGGTCGCCTAAATAGTCCGTATTTCGTTCAAAATCCTTTTGTAAGGAATAATCCGAGCGCTAAATGGTTTGTTACAATTTGATTGCCATATTCGAAAAAAAAAATTAGTCAAAAACTGTCATTTTTTTTATTTATTCGATGGTCGAGGTCAGACACAGCAAAACGCCTGCATGTCCCCAGTACCATACACGTAAACGTCAGTATCATCGAAGCTGCGGAAGCCGACGGCTGCGGTGAGGTTATCCGCTTAGAGGCAGTACTATGTGGGATCTCGGTAGTCGCGGCGCCGTGGTGTTGAGTGTGACGTGTGGGTGCGTGCTGATATACAACGCCTGCTCGTCAACGACAGTCTGCTGTCGCCGCACGCGTATCACGTTCTCGGTTACCTGCGGGAGGCGATTCACGAGCTCGGCGCGGCCCTCCGTGTCGTCCACGTCCACGGTACCGGTTACGTGCGTAAGCTCTGGCACAGTGCGAGCCGTTGTTACCGCGAGCGTTTCCCTTCGTTCAGGATGGACAGGCGACGCGCGAGCAATTATCAGCTCAGCAGCGACTCGTACGCTGCCAAGCGCGGAGAGTCGCCGTCGTTACCGTCATCGCCATCGTCGTCGTCGTCGTCGTCCAGGTTTGGCTTGATAAAAATACCTTTTCATGACTTATGTGTATTTATCATGTTTATCATTGATTTATGTTTATTTTTATGTTTACTTTTCGGTTGAAACCTCCGCCTCGCATGCTCTGAAAAAAGGTAATCGGTAATGGGGACATGCCCGGTCAAAATTGGACACAGCTGGTCGGTAGAGAGGGCACGCACTAGTGCGCCTTTATTCTTCTCTATCTAGAAAAATACTTGACGGAATGGATTGAGCCTACGATTTTTGGAAAGTGCATGGATGAAGCTATCCACCAGTATGAAACTCTTTATCGAATTTATTTTTGTCACGCTTGACAACGCCATTCTTTTGTTGGGTCGGCCTTATAGGTGTCGGCCATAGGGACATTTACCTTAGGGACACTATCAAAATTATCAAGTCGCGCCGGAATGTCTAAATGGAAACTCGGCCACGATTATGCACGTGTGAGAAATACGCTTGATGCAGGATTCGACATATGATATACAGGTGGGCTGTCTAAAACGGGCGCGGCGTTTCGCAATTTGACCCAACGGAGTACTTAACGTGTAATTTACAGAAGAAAGTTTGCCAGGACGAGTGTGCTAGGATCGAGTGGAACTTTATGAATCGCAGCATGTTGCGCGACGTGGGAAGCGAGGCAATGAGGAAGCATTTTGTCAAGTATATAACAAATTCACTGGAATCTCTTGAATATAAAGACCGAACGATTCGTGTTAAATATCAAAATTACATCCAAAGATATAAATATTGGCCGTTTTAATTTATGGTGAACACGGAAAAGAGCAGCGTTAGACAACGGAAAGGAGAATCGGCCAAATGTCAGCTTTATCAGTGTTACGTCGTGCTTATCAGAGTTTGTTTCCCCGGGAAGTAAGAGCGAACTTCCGGCGAACAAATTTATTTTAATACATGATAAATAATTATATTTATATTAAAGCTTAGAGATACATCCTCTTTAAATTTTAATCAAATCTTTTATAGTAAAAAGCACTCGCGTAGTTGCGCAATTGTATACGCATGACGCGTTAAGCGTGACCGAGAAGATTGACTTAGAAAAGGATATCTTCTTTATGGAACCTTAGAGTACAGATTTAAAAGAACGAGAATAGAAAAAGGTTGCTACGATGTAATATTTAAAAGAATATAACGTTTATTAAATAATTGCAACATTCATTGTATATAACGCTTTCTTTAAAAAAATCGTCATAATTAAGAAAAGTTTCTTTAATTTATTTTTGAACAGTTGATTCAATCGGACATTGAAATAACGCAAAGTACTCCGTTAATTTCGGAGACTGGCAAACCCGTGTTTGTCATAATCGAGGTCAAACTTTTTCATCCACTCGTTCCTTGTAGATTCGAAACCGATCTCTCACACATACTATGTTTACGCGAGCGTTACTTCTGTAGTAACTTACGATAATTCCTTCGCGTAAACGGGATTTTGTAGTAACTTACTCCGCGTAAACGAGTAAATTATCGTAAGTTACTACAGAAGTAACACTCGCGTAAACGTAGTAACAGAAAACAAATTAAGTTGCTTCAATTAAACGTTAAATTAAACGTCGACGTCACAGGCTGTCACAAACATAAATAGTTAATTCAATTGGATATTATTGAACGAAATATTCTAATTATTAAAACAATTATTTGATGTTTTTTATTCATTAATATTAATGTTGCATCAATACATTTTATCTCAACTTACACTGATGCTGTTGATACAACATCATTTTTTTCCGTGCAGACATATAAGTCACTCACTAAAAAATGACGCCAAAATTTATCTCGAATGACTAAGCGCGTTAGAGTCGAAAAGATGATGAAGCCAAAAGCAATTAACCGCATTATTACGTTTACTCCGACGAAGTAGCGGAGCAACAATATGCAATTTGCATTCAGAAATTAGTGGAAACTATTATGGAGAGCTACAGGGTATCAAGATCTTTTCTATCATCTATCCTATCTTAAAATAATTTAATCTCATACGTTGAAATGTATATACGTTATTTTATCAACATGTCGTTTCGTGTTAGGACTTTTGTGACAAAAAGAAGCAAGCAAAACTGTCTGCTTTGAAAGAACGGGAAAATAATTTTGAAAAGTTGAAGGAAACAAAGAATTGCTTCACTCCTGAAGAGGTGAGTTTAATTCTAACAATATGAGAAATTATTACGTTCGTATACTTGTCACGATAGTTTTCAGAACAAATTGACTTTTGAAAACAGTTGATTGGTTGTCGACCTCGAAATCAGCTGAGTTCAAATCAAACGAAATTTCGGTAGGTCGGCGGCCGATTAGCTCGACAAATTTTTCGGCTCGTGCCGGAGAAGGCGAGGATCTGGAGTTCGCGTGACGCGCTCATATAAATTCCCGGATCTCCGCACGCGGAGCCGCACTCGATTCATCCGGCAGTATTAAAAAATCCCAGAAAGTTGTTCGTTACTTAGCTCGAATTCAAGGACTCGCGTTACCGCAATACATGGTTGCGGGATCTAAATTCAAAGACTTGTAAATATCTGTAAATAGACTTTAGTAAGTGTAAATAGACTATAAACCAAAGACAATTTCTCGTATTAAGTCCTTCTCATGCGCCTCATCTCCGATTTTTTCCTCTGCTCGAGCACATTATTCCTATCTTGACAAAATTGTAAACGTATTATTTAATAAATTAATCATCAATTAAATTAATCGTAATTTGATCAAAGTGTCAATTGCAATTCGTGGTTTTTGCGGATTCTAAAAATACAATATTATATCGTAGGGTGACACACAAACTTAGCAAAGAGCAATTATTCGACTGTAAGCTTTGTATTTTAAAGATGTAATTGCGGCAGTGGATATTTGTGATAAGATATTTTCTCGTTTTTTAACAAAAACAAAATAACTTTTATTACCATTTTAAATCGGAAACTGATAAAGTTAGATGCATGATAAATGACATAGATAGCAATCATACACGATATTAGTAATAAGAACAAATTACTCTTAATTCAGAAAATTGTAACTTTGGCAGATATTTATAGCGCGTAAATAATTTTCGGTTTTTAATTCAGAGTATAATTATAATTGCATATTTATAGAGACTGTATTATAGATATTAATTTATTGTTTGACACATGGAGAAAAAATTAAATTAGCAACAAACACGACGAATTATATACAGAGTTAGAAATCTGTAGATAATTCTACCCATTGAATCGATCACCGATTCAGTTAACAAAAGTTTGATTGAGGTTAGACAAAGTAGAAATTATTTAACTTTTCAGTAATTGATATTATATTGCTTTTTAATACAAATAGTCTTGGCTCAAACTTTGAAGCAATGTCTTTCTTGTTTACAAAATATGCAGACATATGCAGTTCATTTATGGGTATACTTGATTTGAGAAATTATTCAAACTTTAACTTGTAATATCTTGCTTAGCATTAAAGATATCCAAAAACTGTAAAGGACTTTTTGACTCAGATTTTTATGTAGAATATGCGATTCTTTTTATGACATATACATCAATTAAACCCTGCACAGGACCAGCGTATAGCAGTGCCGCGATTTCGTGGAATCGGTGAGATGTGATAATCCCTACCACTTGGCATGGGGATTCACACCACTATTATATACATACATGCACGATATATCGATGTAGCAGAAGCCGAAGCTATACCGATATGTAATGCATGTGGTAGTAGCATCTTATGTCCCCCATGTGGTGGGGACATTCCACGAAATCGCGGCACTGGCTTACATATACAGTTCACATGTATGTACCGCATTCGCCGCTGATAACTTCATGGCACTAGTGCGATTTTGGTGCGCGCCGCGAGCCGCGAGTATTCGAGTGTTCTCCAACAAACGTTCTCAAACGAGCGTTCTTTGACACAACAGGTACGCTTACCTATTAATAGATCGATACCAAACCCAAGAATTGAACACATTCGTAAGTAATAAGCTATAGTTATGATTCCCACAACAAAAAAAAAGTTTTTGGCGGAATTTATTGCAAAGAAATAACTCGTGTTTGAAAGGAAGACGGACCAAGACCTTGATTTTGGAGCAAAGTTATTGTAAGTCCTGAAATTAACACGTTGGCTACCGCTGGAAAACGATTGATGCGGCTACAGGCTTTATTTTTGCGGGTACGCAGAGCATTCTGCACATTTTCACTTTCGCACAGATAAGTCCGTATTCTTAGTTTATTTTATCATAAATGCGCGCATTTAGTATATAGTTTATGTTATATATACTATAGAATTTCAGAAATGAATGCGCGCATTTATCGATAAAAGTGAACTGAGAGAACGGGCCTTATAGTAAACAGGCAATCGAACACGTTACATAAAGTGCTGCACATGTACATATAACAATATAAAGTTGTGTTATATATGTATGATTTTCTCTTGAGAATCGATGCATCATACATATGATAGCAGACATGTTGAGATTCGCCACTGTGATTAAAAGTAAAACCACTGTAGTTAGAATCATTAGCACTAAAGGAATATTTTACGTGTGATGCAAATTATTTACTTTTTAATTGCGTTTATTGTGAATAAATAATTATTTTTAACGACGATTTATTTTATGTCTGCGTTTGACAAACTATGTCTGAGAAACATTACGCGATTAGCGTTTTAATATTTTTTTTAAACCAACAATTATGACACAATGATATAGCTCTGGAAAACAAAAATTCTTATTTTCTTACTGTCAATTTGTCAATCGTAATGGAAATTGAATAAAGTAAAATAAAATAAAGTTGCAATAATATCTGTCAACTGATTTCAACTGGTATAGGTGTTAATTTTACATATGTGAAAAGTTATTAATTTTATCAAATAATATTAACAAATCCAAGTATCTTCAACGTGATGGATGTGCTTCGAAACCTACATTCGCCTTTACTTTTAAGTGTGAGAGATGATGATATTTAATATGAGTTAATGACTATCTACAAACTGTTATTTGATTAACTGCGTTAAATTTCGACTTATGTAAGGTAATTCGTGTTTTAATTGATTGGCTGCATAATTAAATTCCGACTTACTAAGCTATGTGCTGAAGATGACCCAAAGAGCAGGTCGAAATGTACGCTAATCTTAGTCTATAGATTGTAATAAATTATATATTGTAGCGCATTAACTGTCTTATCGCGACTGACTCTTATTGCCAAATTTGTTAATATTATTTGATTTTATTCAAGAGAACTTTTATATATTTTTATTTATTGTTATTAATTTTATTAATATAAATATTTTAATTAATATTTTAATAAAAAATAATTAATATTAATTCAGGAGAGAGAGAGAAGAAAGCGGGAGAAAAATAGAGCAGGAATAATTTATTTCGTACGACTCGCACGACCTGATTAATATTGTTTAGACTGTTCCATATAAAACGCGCGATACTAAGGAAAGAGAAAGAAAATAGAAAAAAGAGGAAGAATACATAAATATAAAGTAGAAATAAGTTATTGTGCCGCGAGTTTATAAATTCTTTTATTAATGCAAAAAACAATATAATTGTTTTAATAAAAATATTTACCGTTTATCACCTTTTGCCATCTTTCAGGCAGCATATACAGATGCCACAGCGAAAGAATGTCTCGTCTTTTGGCTTGATAATTTCATCGACTCATTTTCTAGCTTCATGCTTCATTTCCAAAATGTGTATCGGAGAGGCTGTGCTGTTTTGACCGAAAGTGATAATCGGCGGTAAGATATTTGGAGAGGAAAAGTATAGCAATTGTTTGATCTACATGGGTCCTCGCGTTATCTTGAAGCAAAATAACTTGGCATCGTTTTGAGTTACATGCCGGACGTTTCTCTCGAAGTGCCTGATTAAAGTTTATTTGATATATACGTAGCGTTCCACTGTGACTGTTTGATCCAGTCTACCGGGTGGATTTCTTCTGAGAAGTCCACCACTCATAATCACTACAGTACTCCATGTTTATTTCACCAGATACAGAAAAGCATATAGCTATGTTGCCGTGTACGTTGCGTTTTAATGTTGAGGTCATCAGTTGCTCAGGATTCGCCCATGATTTCTTGCGATAAGGGTTATCGTAGTAAATAAATCAATTTTTTGTCGCCTGTCACGATTTGCCACAAGAAACATTTCTTTCGTTGTCTTGTTAACAGTGCGAGACTGGCACCTGGCGCGTGTCATAAATATGATGGTTCTACCGTTAATTTATCTTCGCACTGCCTGTATGTATTATTCATACTCTTCGTAATAGAAACATTCATATTCTTCGTAATAATACATACTTTGTATAAGTTTCAATATAATGACGTATTTAGATGTGTTTAATTTACAGTGGTTTCCTCAAAAAGAATTAGGAAATAGTGAAGCAAATATTTCTTTACCAGTAGCTATCAATATTATTTATTATTTTTTTATTTGTTCAAAAGATTACGAAGTTTATGGTTAGTTATCGGAAGTATTATATTACACTTTCTGAATAGTGATAAGACTTCTTTACTCTTTGTCTCTTTATGTGCTCACACATGTATGATCGGTGAAGATGATGGATAGTGACTGCAAAAATCGAGCAGAATCTGTCATTCGTAACTATTTAAATAAGTAATACATTCCATTTAAATGATTACGAAATGACGCTCGGTTTCTGCTTGCAATCGTATATTTTATGTCAGCAGTCTCCACTGGTGGAACACGAGCTTAATTAAATATAATTTATTTATGCAATTGACATTAATTTATCTCAAAGTTCTATTTATTACTTGATCTGTTCTTTTATTGTTATTTTTTTTTCAACTCCATTGCTCAACAACATTGCAATCTTATATATATTGCGATAAAATGTTTTAGTGGTATGATGAAATATATACATAGAAAAATATTATTCTACAGCCAAGTAAGACAATTACTTATTTTATTTTATTTGTTTTAAATAATAGTTTTCTTCAATAAAGAAATATTTTCTTAGTAATAATTTCAAGGTATACTTGGCACAAGTCTTTGAAAATCTCATCATTTTGTGTTCAAAGGAAGAATTTATTCTTCTTTTAAGAATATTACTTTATATCAAAAGAAACAAGATATAGTTAAAAAACAGAAAGTTATTCTTGTTTCAAGTAAATCCATGTTTTTAATTTAAATAAATATATTTATTTTAAAAACAATGTTATCTCAGCGAACAAGTAATTACTTTTATTTTCATAAACTAGTTTACTATATGATTCTTTAGGTAAGAATATGAAATACTTGAAATCAATGAATTACTTCTTCTGAAAACTAAATACTGCAGCACTAAGAATATAATCAGAGGTGTGGTTCAATGTGGTAAAATGCCAGACTCATAACCACGAAGAACCGAGTCCGAGTTTACCTAATCACATGATATTTAATATTTTAAACTGTACCCCCCCCTGAGAGGTACCTTGAATCTAGAAGGCATGAGAACTCCTAGATACTCCTAGATACCTCCTAGATACAAGCAGATGATTAAACGTTACATCAAATTATAATTTATCTTGTATTTCTTTGCAATTAGATAATAACGAAAGAGTAGACAATTATAATGGAAAAAGAGAAGCAACAATCAAGTTACACGTCACCATCATACCCTAATCCGCAGCCACCACCGATAATGCCACTACCACGTAAGTGTATAAAATCATGAAAATAGAATTTTAAGTAATAAATTATATAAATGCATACATACAATAATGAATACAGGCAATATTTTACCTAATTATCCTAGATTAATATTACTTTAATGTGGTCACAGAAACGGTACATACGGTTTTAACGAGGATGGTGTTCAGCAAGGAAAGTCAATATATAATCTGTCCACATTGCCATGCTGACACAAGTACGCGCGTAGTGTCGGAAGCAAACACGAAAACACATCTGCTTGCGTTACTACTCTGTGCATGCGGGTAAGATTTCGAAATATAGGGTAAGAGAATTTTACCAGAAAAAGTATGATTAAATCTGACGTCTTTTCGCAGATGCTGTTGTTGTGCACCGTGTCCTTACTGCACGGATTCTAGTCGAATCCACAGGCATTATTGTCCAGCGTGCACTAATTTCCTTGGAGAATCAACAAATTAATTAATTTGTCTACTTACAATAAATATATACGAAGATACAGCAAAATTATGTTACCATCAATTCTGTGGCGGATTTACCAAACTCCGTCGCGGCGTCGCTCTACGCATTTGAAATTTTGCCGCCCTTCAAACTTGGCTGTAGATCAATTTTAATTATCAACTCATTTTTTGAATTGTTTTATTATTAAATATTTTTATAATATATTAGAATGGAACTAATAAAAAAAAGTTATCTTCAAAGAAACATATTTTATCAAAAATATGTTTCTTTTGGCATTTTTTACATAGATTAACCAGCGAAGCGTGAAGCTCTATACGAATTTAAACCCTGTCTAGGACAGGGCTCATGCTCACCAAGTTTGGAAAGGAAAATTACAATCTCGCCGCCCCCAAATCTCTGTCACCCTACGCTTCAACGTAGTTAGTGTAAGGTAAATCCGCCACTGCTGATCAGTTATTCGATTTATGAAGAAGACATTGCTTTTACCACATATTTCAAATAAACCGTTGTCGAATTATTCACACGTAAATTAGTCTAAAAAGTTTCGTTGTTGCCCACAATTTTATGAAGCTTACGAATATAATTGACACACACAAACACGCAGAGAAAGAGGAAAGATTTGTTTACTCTTTTATTTTTATAAATAACACTGAAGAAGAGAGATTATATAGAAGTTGCATATATACGCTTTATAAGTGTTTTTTATACTGTTCATTTATTTTTTTATCAGTCTGTAATCTTGCATTGTAAAAGAAAATATTATAAAAAAAATTAGTGATTCTCTTTTAGACATACGTGTCTAAAAAATATTTTATAAACGTCTGTACATTTTTAGACATGCGTGCAGACATGAATATACTATACTATTAATTATACTTACGTGTATAGTATATATATTATAACATGAAATATATCATAACACCAATAAAATTGATTAGAAGACTTCAAATTTGAGTTTCTTGTTAAAGCGGATATAATTACAGTTTATTACCTTCAAAAATATTTCTTAGACATTAGCATTTTAACTACTGACGCTATCCTAAAGTTTCCATTTTCTTTGCCTAAAGAATTACGTGGAATTCCTTTTTCAAAGGCTGAGCGAAATAGGTTGAAGAAAGCTCGAAGGCATTTGGAAAGACGACTGGAAGGTGGTGAAACGGAATTCTGTGGCAAGAAGAACGAACTCTTCTTGCAGATGGAGAGTTTGCAGTTGGAAGAAGAAATCGAACGGGCCAAGACCGAAAGGGGTAGCTATATGAAGGCGCAGCATCGACTCGAACAACGGGAATCGTTTTTTGTCGTTTGCAGATGCAGCTCAATCAGAACGCAAATCAAATCATCCATTGTAGGGAAATTTCTTACATCGACGACTTTAATGCCGACAGTAGCAGCAACGGTAGTACTAACAGCCGCAGTTGCAGTAGAGGTACTGACCAGTAACAGCAGCAATAGCGCTTACGACAACGATGGATATATCCGAACACTCCGATTAGTCGAACCTTCCCTTTCGTCGGTTACTTTTAGCGTCCCGTATACAGCAAGTACCTTTTCTTTGATTCAGAGTTTGTTGAATTAATCCGCGGCACGGCGAAGGGCTTTTATCACCTCCCGAAACGAGGCTCTTTCCAGAAATTTTCACCCATTTTTGGGAAGGTGACTGGCCCTCGGCGACCTACGTCACCGTGCTTGCGTCATGGTTCAATCCGACGATTGTTACATGTTTTCGCCAGAATTGTTTACAGCTTGTATCCTTCCTTTGTTTGAGACCTTGTTATTGCGAACCGTTAGCTTGACTTTATTATTGTCACAGAATTGTTATTACAGAATGTTCTCGAAAGCGAATATTGGAAGGATCCATGCTGTGAATTTGCAGCGATGCGATTTCTGTAATGCGAGATGTTACGCGAATATTCATTGTCGCAAGCGTGCATACGCTGTCATGCAACCGAACGCGGTTTTCGAGATGCCGTTTATCACGATCTCAAACATTCCCTATATTAAAAGTTTTTCCAAAATAACATTTATTTATGAAAAAATAAAAAATAAACGCATAAATGCGTTTATAATAATGAACATTTTAGTAAATATCTTTTAAACAATAGAAGTCTTTCCTGGTATTAGATTCAGTACAGCATAATGAGTGTCTAATAATTTTGGCCGACACTGTATGTTAATTATATTTTGACAAAATTGTTAATGTGTTATTTAATAAGTTAATCGTCAATTAAATTAATCGTAATTTGATTAAAATTGTAATTCGTGGATTTTGAGGATTATAAAAATACTAGATTTTTTGCCCGCGCTTCAAAATCTATTCCCCTCTCCCCAAACTCACTCATTAATTAGGAGCACCTTTGATATTCTTTCTCCTCAAACTCTAACCTACATCTTCAAATTCTTTTTAAAAAAATAAAAAATAAATAATATTATAGATGCAGATTAGCATATTGTCAAATATTTCAAAAATGTAATCCCTTATATTAAAGTCTTTAAATTTTATTTTTGTTCGCGCCTCGCGCTTTTTCATCCTTTGTTGACCCGCCATTATTAACTCTCTTTCATTTTCTTCTATTTTATTTTCTCTTTTCAAAAACATCAAAAAATTAAAAAAATTTTGGCACCGGTTTCAAGAAAATCAATTCTTAATGAAAAATTATCCATTAATAAAAAATTAAACTTATCCTCCAAAAATTAAAAAAATTTTGACACGAATTCTATTTCATATATAATTTTTTAAGATTTGGTCTCTTAATTCCGGAAAAATTGGAAAAATTTTGTAACTGGTTCTTTAAAAAATCGGTAACCAAAAATTATACACTTTATAGCAATCCCCGGGAAATTTTACCTCTATTTCATATGTAATTCTTTAAGATTTGGTCAATTAATTCCCGAAAAATTGAAAAAATTTTGTAACCGGTTTCCAAAAAGATCGGTAACAAAAAATAATACATTTTATAGCACTCCCCAAAAAATTCTACCTCTATTTCATATACAATTATTTGAGATTCAATCAATTAATTTCCGAAAAATTGGAAAATTTTTTGATACCGATTCCCCCAAAATTGGTAACAAAAAATTATACACTTTATGGCAATCCTCGGGAATTTCTACCTCTACCTCATAGAATTTTTTAAAATTTGGTCAATTAATTTCCGGAAAATTGGAAAAATTTTGTAACCAGTTTCCAAAAAGATCGGTAACGAAAAACTATACACTTTATAGCACTCCCCGGAAAATTCTACTTCTGTTTCATATATAATTCTTTTAAATTTGGTCGATTATTTCCCGAAAAATTAGAAAAATTAAAAAAATCGGTTTCCAGAAAATCGGTAGCAAAATACTATACACTTTATGGCACTCCCCAGGAAATTCTACCCCTATTTCATGTACCCTTGATAAAAATTCGGTCCACTAACGAATGAGTAGTTCGCGGTCAGACATACAGATGCGTATATCTGACGTAGACATAGACATACGTATATCTAAATATATACAGGGTGATTCAAAAGGTTACTGCCAAACTTAAAGCTAATAAACGAGTAGCAAATTGCGATGATTTCATTGGTATTTTATTCGAGTCCCATACATTCAAAGGCCTGTAAGTACTGACTCAGGATTGACATCGAAGAACATAGTTTCCTAATCAAAAGTTGATCTATTTTCACCTCTTTGTACGCTTCTTAAGTTTGGCAGTAACTTTTTGAATCATCCTGTATAAGCATTATTTCTCAGATTTTTGGTTGAAAGACCAAAAAAGAAGATTGAAGTAATATAGTTATCTTAATTCTTTCTTGATTGTGTGTGTCCGTTTCCGGATCAGCGATATTGTAGCGACTCCGGGACATCTGTTCGTTTATTTGCCAATACAGTCTCCCATTCAAGCGAACCCGTATCACTCCTTGAATCGGGCAGAAACTGACATATAAGATAGTATAGTAGACCAGCGTATAGTTCACATATACCGCATTCGCCGCTGATAACGCTAAAGTGCGATTTTGGTGCGCGCCCCGAATATTCGAGTGCTCTTCGATGCGGCTTATGATTAAGTATAAGATAAAATTTTGGTCTCTCTCTCTTTCTCTCTCTAGCAGTGCCAAGTTTTTTGACAAGAAAAATTTATGTATTTTAATAAAATATTTTTATTTTTTGTACTGTTACCTCTGTAATTTTTTGCGATGCGATTAAATCTTTTAAAATACATATATAAACTTTGTATTTAAATACCTTGTATTCTCTTGTTGGGTTTAAATATTTTAATAAAATATTTGTATTTTGTACTGTAGTTACCTCTGTGTAATTCTTCATGATTCAATCTTTTATTCTAATCGAAGAAAAGCAGTGGTAATATTATACCTCGAAAAAATCTAAGTAACAAGTGGTAGACGTAATCTTTGTATCTCGAAAAATATGTTCTCTGTAATTGGCGCTGTAATTTAAAAAGAGATATCATTTCTTTTTTGTAATTGTAATAATAGATCACTTGAAGCGCGACTCATTTTTGATAAGGTAACGTAATTTTGTGTATCACTTAAGTTATAATTTTTTGGAAATAAAAATACTACTGCTTAGATTTTTTCGAGATTTTTGGAGATACAAAGATTACGTCTACCACTTGTTACTTAGGTTTTTTCGAGGTATAATACTACCACTTTTTTTTCGAGGTAAAGATACTACGTTTAGGTTTTTTCGAGATAAGTTATACATGTAATTTTTTATATAAAGTATCATTAAAAGAATGTTGGTATTGAATTTTGCGATAATCGGTAAAAAGGCTCTTTTTTTATACAAAGTTTTTGTTCGCGAAATCGCTGATTTTTCCCGGCGATGGAAGCGGGATGAGAAGGACGCGCGTGGAAGGTGTTAACAAATTATTCACTGTATTTATGTGTAACTCAGACCACAGTCTGAGCCGTCTTTAATGCGTCGAAAAATATACAATCTGACCTAAGAAACGATGAGCGGTGTATAAATGAGAAGTATTTAATGTCCGTGAGTGGGCGAGACAATTATATTAATTGCCCTCCTCGTGATGATTAGCCCGTGAGCCGGTGAGACGCGTGGCGGTCGGCATTCGCGCACGTGTGAGCCTGAGTCGTCGTGTTGATGTATCAGATTTGAGCTAGATGAGCGGTCGCTTTACACTTTAAGAAAGTTTCTGGGCAGGTTTGATCACTTCAATGGGCACTTTACTCGAAAATAACCTTCAAGC